ACTGTATTCTACACCCATGATGCCAACTGCTGCTCTGGGTGGGGGGGGGGGGGGGGGGGGGGTCCCCCTCACAATGTCTACTCCTTCCATGTGTCCCCCCCCCCCCCATTTTCTCTCCCTGTCTATATAAGAGTTAAAGCCCACTAACCACTCTATCTGCAGCTGGCCACCTAGCTACTTAACCCTAAAATATCTCCTAGTGATATCTATTATTTCAGCCATCTGCACAGATTTTGTTGCCTGCTCATTTGGGGGATGGGGGGGGGGGGGGGGAACTTCTAGCAACCATGATTTTTTTTTAAAGCAATGGCAAACTACTGGACATAAATCCTAGTGAAACCACAAAAGCGAGGAGCTGATGGGGGTTGGTTCTGCAACTAACCTTTAAGTGTGCATGTACAACTGGTCACAAACTACCATGCAGCAGCTGTGCTTCCGCTAACTGTCATACATGCACTGTGCATTACACACCACTGGACTATCAAAATGACATCCTTCCTGCAAGTTTCTGTAGCAATTCATTGTTTCAGGTTGGGAGAGCTGGCCCCTATACACCCCCCCCCCCTCCCCTTATCTGGGGTTGGGACTGACAATGGCAGGGATGTATGTAGTATACACTGACCAAAAATCAAGACAGATAACATGTGGGGGAACAAGTCAGTGATTGAGACATCTGGGGAATAACAACATGTTTAGGCCTGAAAGTTTAAGACTAGTGTAACTTTAAGTCCTTTGGAGACTCAAGACATATGGGCTATGAGCAGACTTATGGGTCAGAGCATGTAGCAATGTTGAGCATGACAGAATAGCTAAGAGTCACTACAGTTTAGGAAAGTCTTCCATAATTAGAGGATGGAGGTTCTAGAACCATTGTCTACATTGCATATATTTATCCTCTACATCCCAAGTTAGGATCTTGGCTATGAGATTGAGGTTTGTCTATGAGATTGAGGTCTGGTAAGGAATTTCCCAGAGAGTTCCCCAGGAGATGTAGTAGAGGTGGTGGGAGGGGAGGGGTAGTTCCCTCTTACATCTGTAAGAAATAAGATTGTATTATATCATCACTAGTATGAACTTCCACTGTATTCTATAAGTCACTTAGCAACCGCAAAGTTCAAACCACAAAGTTCAGCTTGAACCGACATTTGGGATAGACCTTCGGCAGTGCGATGCGAAGCGAATTAGGGATATTTTGGGGTGGGCCCTGAAAACAGCCATCCTGGCATGTTGGCAGCAGAGGGCCCTGAAAAGCAATGACAGCCTCCATGTATGATTACTGGTCGGTTAGGGTTAGATGCAAGGAATGCCTACAGGTGAAAAGTCACAAAAGTAAGACCACTTGCAAACCAAACAGGTCATCACAGTCAGGGCGAAAAACAATGTAAAGCAAGAAACTGGAAATAATAAAGCAAAACGAACCCAACCGATACATGATACGCCTAAAAGAGTGGTTACTGTCAAATGAAAACACTAACTCCCCTAAAATTTCCTACCAAAGGCGGCTGAAGAGATGGGGATGAAAAGCCAGAAAAACTCGACCTATTTTCAATAATTCTCACCATCCCTATTCCCTCCCTACTTTCTCCTTCACCCCTATCCCCTCCTGCCAGTCTAAGGATCTCAAAAACATAAGGCTGGAGACTGAATAAAACTGCCTTCCAATGATAACATGTGGAAGGTAATTGGAGCACTCATGTGCAACGCAACATAACTAAACATAACACACACAGGTGTTAGACAACTTTATTTTCCTAAAACCATGGTATAGATTTTGCCAGACTCTGGGTCCACTCTGGGACAGTCGGGATAGGAAAATAAGCTAGTGCCCCTAACGGGATTTCATTCTCCCTCATTGCGCCTGTAGATAAAAAAAAAGAATGAAAACTTGTCACATAGTGTCACAGGAACGCTAGTATTTTCACTACAATAGTGTTAGTGCCAAAAGTGGACATTAGTAGCAAAATGATAAAGAAACAATTTACATAATTAAATGTCTAACAATATTCCTAAATTTTATATGGAAGAGACAAATCAGAAATGACACTAGCAAACAGGTTGCTATGAAAGTGGTTCGAAACTACAACAGATCAAATGGTTCAGGTTGAAATGTGTCAAAACTACCAGAAACTGAATCGCAGAGAGGCCCGGAACACCGGAAGCAGATCTAGAGGTGGACCACGCAAGCAATGAATAGATGGGAAAAATCTCAGGCTGTAAATACCTGAGGTATTGGTAGATACCAATGCTAAAACCTGACGATGAAAGCAGAACAGGACTAGAAGAAACGGCAGTACTGTTAAGTCACTGCTGCATATCAGGTCACTCATGAGTGCATGACTGATCAGGAAAACAATCTAAGTCTGATATCAGTGGCTCTGTTGGTTAGTAAGATAATTTCTCAAGGCAATCCTTGTTTACCAGGGTTCAAATCCCACTATGGGTGTGGCTTTCAGTGGTATGGGATTCACACCATGAAAGACTGGAACCCTCACCCACCACATCTCTATACTTAGCTGCAGCCAAACCCTATAGTGGAGATAGCCCTTAGTAATTTTTTAATTTCAGCCAGAAGCCGCGTTAGCTCAGTCAAATCCAGCTGCTGTGACTCGCTGGCAGCCCACAGCTGGTGTTTGAAACCAGGCAGTTCCCAGGGTTCACCCAACCTCTAGGTAATGGGTACCTAGTCTTTTAACACCGAGATAAATGGAGGAAAGTTGCGCTGTAGCTACAGAGTTATGTGCAGACAGCGACACAGGCAGACAGTTTCTTTTAAATGTCCGCACTGGTAGCAGAACACTTATGGTTTAAGTGTAATGGGTTCACATCTCCAAACTACCTTTAATGTCAGCCAGCCATTCTGTATGGAAGATCACAGTACTGGGCCAATTGGGACATTTTTAACAGCAGGAAAACCACCGAGGCTTGACCAAAATATAAATATACTGACAGGGGCTAATCATCAACCTACAGACATTAAACCCTGTCATCCAGAGAATGAATATAAAAAAACAAAGCTTCCAGTTATCCTATTCTCATAAAGTGTCACTTTTCTACAGTAATGTATTTATGAGATCCAGTTTAAAATGCTGTTGGCTGGGTTTGTTCCTGTTCAATGTTAGAAGTCAGGATTTGAGGATTTGCACACATTAATATATTTATGGGTGTGTTCCTTTTAAACCAAAAAAATTTTGCTGAAGAATTCAGTGACAGGTCATGGCATAGGTTACTTGCAAGGGGGGGGGGGGGGGGGGGGGGGTTATGTTTCAGGGAACAAATGACAAACTACAGAAACAAATTTTTGAAGATTATCCAGAAATAATTAGTGTCATGGTGCATTGTGCATCATTACTGAGGCGACAGGGTTAAATGTCAACATTTGTTGGATTGCTTAAAAACCAGCAAGGGTTGAACTACACTGACCAGTTGACGTAAAAGCAGGAGGACTGGCTGGCCAAGTGCCAGAGGGCTCTCATGCAGAACTATTAGAAGTTCAAGATGGGGATTCTATCAGGTGCAAAAATACAACCCTAATCTGGACAGTTGGTGACTGCACTAAGACATGGGGCCTTATATTCTCAGAGCCCTTTCCTTGTCCCCCCACCAACAGGCAGTAAACATGCACAGAAGCTGAGCTTAACTAGCTCACAGCAAACACATCCAGTTTACATGTTGAAAAAAAAAGCTATACCAGTTTTCAATAGAAAACCAAAAGCCAACATGGACCATTCCATGTTTATCAGTTAATATGCAAAAGAAACAATATGCAAAAGAAACATAAGTTAATGTTCAAAAGCCAACAGATACAACATACAAAAGGCAACAAAATAAAAGCCACTGTGCACCAATATTCAAAGCCAACATAAATCATACAGAAGCCAACATAAATCATACAGAAGCCAACATAAGACACCATGCACCAGTTATACAAACATACAAAAAGTCAACACACATGATTCAGAAGCCAATACATACATTTTTCAAAAGCCATGAAAAAAAAATTCAAAAGCCAATAAATTATTCAAAAACCAACATACTGTATTTCACATGCACAGGCCGCACCTAGTTTCAAGATAATTTTAGAACAAATCACTTCCGAATGTCATCGAAAGACCTGTAAGCAGCTAAAGATGGGCCGCTATGCACAAGAGCAAATTACAGTTGTACATTTAAGCTGCAAGTGAATTCCAGTTAGTTGTACAGGACCTTTTACAGCACACTATGACCCAGGCATCTGACAATGGTGTGGGACTTCGACACCTACCAACAGGTGTATCAAAGACATTATCAAGTTACTTATGAGTAGCATGGGTGCATTTGGAGATGCAGATTAAACTCCCGATTTATTAATACATTTTGTACAAGTTACATGTGGGCCCAATACCTCAAAGGATACATATTTTCCATCAATGACTTCCGTTTAAAATACTCTGGCCTATACACGTGTAAATACGGTACATCATTCAAAAGCCAACATATATACCAGGACTATTAAACTAAGTTCCCTCAGTTGCCAAAATTTGGAACACGGGGTTAGTCATGAGCCAGGGCTCCAGACTAGAAAGATAAACAATATAATGGGCAATGAGCCACAGGCAATCCGCCACAGGCAATCCGCCAACACTCCGAAGCCGAATAGCCCTGTTATATACCATACGAAAGCTTACATATACAACATACAAAAGCCAACATATAGATCATACAAAAGCGAACGGTTACCATTTAACTGAACAAATGCCATCATTTAACAGAACAAAAGCCACTCGTCCACAAACTGACGCTGCGACAAAACCTGCTAACAAAAAAAAAAAATTAACATACAACAACAAAAAAGACAACATGCACTTGTCCACACTTTACACACAACAAATAAAAAGCTAACATGCACTGGTCCACGTTAAACACAGCAACACACACCAGTTAACACAAAAGCCAACATACACCAATTGTGCAAAGAACTAAACATGAAATTCACAAGAACAAGTCACGACACCGAAAGTGACCTCTCAGACACAAGAAGGTCAGAAAGTCCTCAGTTTTGGGCATCTTGGAGGACAACACCTTGACCGCAGGGGCGGCGAACTTGACCGGTGTGCAGCTGGTCATCCCAGGCAGGGAACAGCCCTGTGCAAACTTTCTCTGGGCGTGGACCTTCCTGTCGAAATAACTAACAATGCCTTCAGGTATTAAAATCTGGCATAAGAAGGAGGTGACGACAGGTAGAAAAAGTGACGGGAGTGCTGATGGACAGAGGAGACAGTGAGTGCTGCCAAAAAGAGAGGATTAGTGCCAAGAAGTGACAAACAGAAAGAGGTGATGACAGAAAGAGATAAGACAGGAAAAAAGAGGCTACCATAAGTGATGACAAACGTGATGACAAAGAGGTAATTGACAAAAGTGACGTCAAAAAAGTAATAAAGTAATGACAGGTGACGACAAACAGAAAGAGGTGACAAGAAACAGAAAGAGGTGACAAGAAACAGAAAGAGGTGACAAGAAACAGAAAGAGGTGACAAGAAACAGAAAGAGGTGACAAGAAACAGAAAGAGGTGACAAGAAACAGAAAGAGGTGACAAGAAACAGAAAGAGGTGACAAGAAACAGAAAGAGGTGACGAGAAACAAAGAGGTGACGAGAAACAAAGAGGTGACGAGAAACAAAGAGGTGACGAAAACAGGTGACGAGAAATAGGTGACAGCGAAGGACGATAAATAGAAATGCAGATAAAAAGATATGACAGGAAATTAAAGAGCGATTAGGTGATAAGGAGATTGGACAACAAACAAGCAGGAGGTTGGACAACCAACAAGCAGGAGGTTAGACAACCAACAAGCAGGAGGTTGGACAACCAACAAGCAGGAGGTTGGACAACCAACAAGCAGGAGGTTGGACAACCAACAAGCAGGAGGTTGGACAACCAACAGGAGGTGACAATTACTGAAACAATAATAGCATAACAATAAGAAAACATTGAGAATCACTGACAGAAGTAGAACAATGAGAAGTGATGAAACAATAATAGATCAGTCAGAAAAGTAGATAAAATTAAAAATTAAAATCAAAGAGAGCAGGACAATGTGACTAAATTTAAAAACAAACAAAAAAGTGGTAGAACACTGACAAGTTGGCAGATAAAAAGAGTCAATTACAGCAGAATTAGAGGTAAGAACACAATAATTAAAACAATGGCAGCAAACCAAAGAGAGTCAACAGAACAAAAGCACTCTTGAAACAATGGTAGTAGAATTATGTGAGGCAACAGAACAAAAGCACTCTTGAAACAATGGTAGTAGAATTATGTGAGGCAACAAACAAAAGCACTCTTGAACCAATGGTAGTAGAATTATGTGAGGCAACAGAACAAAAGCACTCTTGAACCAATGGTAGTAGGATTATGTGAGGCAACAGAACAAAAGCACTCTTGAAACAATGGTAGTAGAATTATGTGAGGCAACAGAACAAAAGCACTCTTGAACCAATGGTAGTAGAATTATGTGAGGCAACAGAACAAAAGCACTCTTGAAACAATGGTGGTAGAATTATGTGAAGCAACAGAACAAAAGCACTCTTGAACCAATGGTAGTAGAATTATGTGAGGCAACAGAACAAAAGCACTCTTGGAACAATGCTAGTAGAATTATGTGAGGCAACAGAACAAAAGCACTCTTGAAACAATGGTAGTAGAATAATGTGAGGCAACAGAACCATGAGAATAATTAAAAGTAATAGTAAAAATAGTAGAAGTCGGACCAAAAGGAGCCATTAAAACAGTTAAGTAACAAGTTAAAATTTTTAAAAAGAACGTGAGAAGTGGGATCAAATAAATGAGAATTTAACAGTTAAAACTGCAGCTGAGGCTAAAACATAGCAGTTACAAGAGTGGCTATGTAAAACAATTGACTGCCAGCAGAACTATAAATCAGTGACAATAAAATTCATCTGAAAATCAATTAAACTGAAGGTAAAATAAACATATTACAGTAACCACAAAAACCAGTAAGAAATGAATTACTGCATTAACTATTGTAAAAAAAGCATGTAAGGAAGGTTTTCTTTTGGGGAAAAAAAATGGCTGTGTAGACATTCTGACACGTTTTCTATTGGCCACAGTAGTTACTAGTCACAAGGTCAAGTAACTGCCAAGTTAAAAGTTCAGAATATGACCAGTCCCAGCTGACGGGCCGTGCTGCTGACATCACCAGGTCAGGCTGCATTCTCTTAAACAGGAAATAGAGCTGCGAGCTGCGTTAGGCAGTCGATAGCAGGCTCGCTTTAAAATCCAGCTGGGACTCTCAGCTTCGGTCGGTGTTCGAAACTGGGCCCATCCAGCATCATCTCTTGGTCTGCCTCTACCCCTTTTTCCCCACTGATCTTTCCATTTCACGATGTTCTCCAATGTCTCTCTTCTCATTATGTGGCTAAAGAACAGCGTTTGTCTCTTATTTTTGTAATATAGAGATCTACATTCATTAGCCTCTTTCAAGCAATCAGTTCTCTGGCCATTCTACAAACATGCCTTCGTTAATTTCAAAATTTTTAGCAGACTATTGCCGCCGCACCCCTGGCATACGCTCATTGCACCCGCTGCGTTACCGCATGGTTAGCCCGACCTGGGCTCGTCAGCTGGAGCCAATCGTGTGTGGAAGTTATAAGAGAACGCCAGCTGACTATGAGACCTTTTTATTAAATCCCTTTACTGTGTATGGTATTTGTTAGTGTTTTGTTACCATAAATCGACTGCTTTTTTTAAGCACCTTTTCTCAATTCCCTAATTATGGAAAGTACAGGATCCTGGCTGTTTTTCCTCTCCGACCCTGGTGTGGTAATGTTTTACCTTTCCTCTCCGACCCTGATGAGGTAATGTTTCACCTTTCCTCTCCGACCCTGATGAGATAATGTTTCACCTTTCCTCTCCGACCCTGATGAGGTAATGTTTCACCTTTCCTCTCCGACCCTGATGAGGTAATGTTTCACCTTTCCTCTCCGACCCTGATGAGGTAATGTTTCACCTTTCCTCTCCAACCCTGATGAGGTAATGTTTCACCTTTCCTCTCCGACCCTGATGAGGTAATGTTTCACCTTTCCTCTCCGACCCTAGTGTGGTAATGTTTCACCTTTCCTCTCCGACCCTAGTGTGGTAATGTTTCACCTTTCCTCTCCGACCCTAGTGTAGTAATGTTTCACCTTTCCTCCCCAACCCTGATGAGGTAATGTTTCACCTTTCCTCTCCGACCCTAGTGTGGTAATGTTTCACCTTTCCTCTCCGACCCTAGTGTGGTAATGTTTCACCTTTCCTCTCCGACCCTAGTGTGGTAATGTTTCACCTTTCCTCTCCGACCCTAGTGTGGTAATGTTTCACCTTTCCTCTCCGACCCTAGTGTGGTAATGTTTCACCTTTCCTCTCCAACCATAGTGTGGTAATGTTTCACCTTTCCTCTCCAACCCTAGTGTGGTAATGTTTCACCTTTCCTCTCCAACCCTGATGAGGTAATGTTTCACCTTTCCTCTCCAACCCTGGTGTGGTAATGTTTCACCTTTCCTCTCCGACCCTAGTGTGGTAATGTTTCACCTTTCCTCTCCAACCCTGATGTGGTAATGTTTCACCTTACCTCTCCAACCCTGGTGTGGTAATGTTTCACCTTACCTCTCCAACCCTGGTGTGTAATGTTTCACCTTTCCTCTCCTACCCCACTGTATAGTCTGTTTCCTCTTTTCTCTACTACGTTTGGAGTTGAACTGCCTTTCATTATTTTACACCAGGGTTTGAGACACTCAGAATAATGTTGCATTTAAGAATAATGTTGCATTTAAGAATAATGTTGCATTTAAGAATAATGTTGCATTTAAGAATAATGTTGCATTTAAGAATAATGTTGCATTAAGAATAATGTTGCATTTAAGAATAATGTTGCATTTAAGAATAATGTTGCATTTAAGAATAATGTTGCATTAAGAATAATGTTGCATTAAGAATAATGTTGCATTTAAGAATAATGTTGCATTTAAGAATAATGTTGCATTTAAGAATAATGTTGCATGTATATAACACAAGTGCGGACCAACCATACACACAAAAAACCTAAGATCGTGGTTTCACAAACTAACATTCAGATCGGAGGTGGCTGCATGACTCAAATCTATACAGCTCACTATCACTCAGATACATAAATGACAACTGATTAACATGAACGACTATATTCCTACCACATATAAGAAAGAATGAACATGGATAATTTAACCTTCCTACAAGACATAGCAGATGATAAACAAAACAAATGCTTCTAAGTTACCTTTTGGATCCATTGTGGGAACTGGCCGAGGACCTGACTGAGTCTTGGCTACTCTCATCCAAACTTAAATTTGCTGTGGGGAGTAGAAAGAAGCCAGATTACTGGTGATAGGGGAATGCGGTTGTCACGAGGGAGGCCGGGCCGCGCCCCATGCTGGAGGCCAGGCCACGCCCCATGCCAGAGGTCGGGCCGTCCCACATTGGAGAAGTTTGACAGAGGCTACAGCCATAAATCCAGCCGTTCTAATAAGTCTACAAGTCTCTTAAGAATTATCTTATAGGTCTGTTAGGTTCTCCCTCTACTAAGGGTATTAACGCTTGCTTAAGTTTTATCTAAAACTTTTTTAGTTACACACCCTGTTGTAACCCTTTGATAATCCCTCTCTAGATCACCTGTGCCTTACTACTAACTGCGAGACAATGGGATGCAAATCTACTGTTCAAGCATGCCAAAGAGATTGACAGATCTCATCGTAAAGATAAGCGATTTTAAGTATTATTTGCAACTATCGTTGTCCATTTGTTTCACCTTTCCTATCCGACCCTAGTGTGGTAATGTTTCAACCTTACCTCTCCAACCCTAGTGTGGTAATGTTTCACCTTACCTCTCCAACCCTAGTGTGGTAATGTTTCACCTTTCCTCTCCAACCCTAATGAGGTATTGTTTCACCTTTCCTCTCCAACCCTAATGAGGTAATGTTTCACCTTTCCATTCTGACCCTCGTGTGGTAATGTTTCACCTTTCCAACCCTGGTGTGGTAATGTTTCACCTTTCCAACCCTGGTGTGGTAATGTTTCACCTTTCCAACCCTGGTGTGGTAATGTTTCACCTTTCCAACCCTGGTGTGGTAATGTTTCACCTTTCCTCTCCAACCCTGGTGTGGTAATGTTTCACCTTTCCTCTCCAACCCTGGTGTGGTAATGTTTCACCTTTCCTCTCCAACCCTGGTGTGGTAATGTTTCACCTTTCCTCTCCAACCCTGGTGTGGTAATGTTTCACCTTTCCTCTCCTACCCCACTGTATAGTCTTGTTTCCTCTTTTCTCTACTACGTTTGGAGTTGAACTGCCTTTCATATTTTTACACCAGGGTTTGAGACACTAGGAATAATGTTGCATATAAGAATAATGTTGCATGTGAGAATAATGTTGCATGTGAGAATAATGTTGCATGTGAGAACAATGTTGCATGTGAGAACAATGTTGCATGTGAGAACAATGTTGCATGTGAGAACAATGTTGCATGTGAGAACAATGTTGCATGTGAGAACAATGTTGCAAGTGAGAACAATGTTGCAAGTGAGAACAATGTTGCAAGTGAGAACAATGTTGCAAGTGAGAACAATGTTGCAAGTGAGAACAATGTTGCAAGTGAGAACAATGTTGCATGTGAGAACAATGTTACATGTGAGAACAATGTTGCATGTGAGAACAATGTTGCATGTGAGAACAATGTTGCATGTAACAATGGGATGCAAATCTACTGTTTAAGCATGCCAAAGAGATTGACAGATCTCACTGTAAAGAAGCAATTTTATTATTTGCAACTATCGTTCATTTGTATCGCATGCTGATTAAAGCATTCTAGTCACAGCATACTCGTCATTCACAACAATTGTGGTTTGGTAAAGCTGAATAATTCTACTTGTCTAGATTGATTTCATGATGTAACCAATAACTGAAGGAATCCCATTTGGGTTTCAGTGTCCCATTATGGTAAAAACAAACCCACTGCCTGACCAAAAACAAGCATGTCGTTAATTGTAGACTAACTAAGGGTTTCATTTAAAGTCAGAGTGCATCTGTTTGAGAGGCCTGGAAGCAGCAGTCTGCATACAGATAAGATCTGTAAAATAGCTGTGCACTCAACACTCAGGTGCTGGAACTGTTGGAACAAGTCCTGGACTGAGGTGGATGAATCACCAAACTTTCAGCCGGAGTTGCGTGAAGAATTGCAGGAAACGGGGGAGGAGAGGGTGAGAAGGAGAAAAGTGGGAAGGAAGGAAGTCAAAATGAAAAAAAAATATTAGGAAATAAATCGACTTATGTTTTCAAAATAATGAAAAACGACTGCATCATTTGTCAGTCAGTGGCTTAATTTCTCTAGAATGGTTCTGTCCTCTTGTCATGGATGTTTTTTGCACGATTCTAGCGCAAAATGTTTTGTTGACTGGAGCAGAGTGTACTGTGGCTGCGCTATATACATAGTTGACTGTGGCTGCGCTATATACATAGTTGACTGTGGCTGCGCTATAAACATAGTTGATCAATAGATTGGGCAGTCTCGACATTGCTGCGCTATCAATTTTGATCATGAAAACAATCTCAGTGGCGGAAACTGCAAACTAGAGGGCAAACTTGATAAAAGCTATTCCCAGTTTTGAAATATATCAAATTGCTTTTGGTGAGGAGGAATTGACAATGAATTCAACAGCCATGACCCAGAAAGCAAACAATAATGAATAGAACAAAGAATGAAAGGACGTGAAAGGAAAGAACGGAAGTTGAAATTAAGGAACAACGGCATATGGAAAGAAAGGAAGGACCTACACGAATCTCACCTGCCAACTCTCTGTGCCGAGATGGGCGCTTAGGGAAGACCCTGCCAGAAAGCACAGAATGTTTCAGAGTCTGCACAACTTTCTGTGGCCTGCAAACTCTGCTCCCGCCACTGCTGCTGATGGTGGACGTGGTGGTGGTGGAGGAGGATGCCTCTTGCAGGCTCCTGTTCCCTTTGATGCTGCCTTTCCCAATACTGGTAGTGCTGCTGCTGCAGCTACTGAGGTTATTGCTACTGACGCAGCTGCTGCTGATGTGATTGCTACTGGAGTAGTCGCCGATGCCGTCGCCAAAACCTGGAAGGGCTTTGGAACGCCGATTCTCCTGAAGTGAGGCGTATAGTGCCTTGTTCAGTTCTTGCTCTTCTCTCCGAGATAACCCAACGGTGTCATCCTATAGAAGATACCCCAACTCCAGTTTAGCTCAAACAAGATAAGATTATGTGGTTTATAGTATTTCAATTACTTTAGTATCACTAAGGTAAGATTGTAGTGTGGCTGAAGCAAGATTGTGGTGTGGCTGAAGCAAGATTGTGGTGTGGCTGAAGCAAGATTGTGGTGTGGCTGAAGCAAGATTGTGGTGTGGCTGAAGCAAGATTGTGGTGTGGCTGAAGCAAGATTGTGTAGTTGAGATGAGACTGGTGTAGCTGACACTAGACAGGTACAGTGAAGACAAGACTAATAAAACAGACTGCTGTAACAGATAAAGTGCTGTAACAGATAAGACAAGACTAAGCTAAAACATAAGACTGCTGATACAAATAAGGCTAGTGTAACGGATAAGATGTGCAACAGACACGGCTGCGCTGCAACAGACACGGCTGCGCTGCAACAGACACGGCTGCGCTGCAACAGACACGGCTGCGCTGCAACACAGCCCTGTATCCACCTCTGACAATCAAGGTCCCTCTACATGCCAGTGCTGTCATAGACGTATGACACTAGACATTTATAGACCAATCAGCCGTTGATATGTAATGTGGTCCACATAACGCCGGCCACTTTTACTTCCTAGGACTTTACCTGGTAACCATTTTAAAGCTGGTTGACCTGGCTGCTTAGGTCATCTGAAAAATGCAGCTCTGTGAAGAGTTGAACCCAGGAACTTTGAAGCCGCAGGCAGGTATTTAATCACTACACCATGGCAGCTCCCAATGGAGCACATGTTTTTAATCAACTTATACCAAGTTGTACTATCTTATCCTTCGTTGTCATGCGTAGCTCATCCTAGGTTAACATACTGTTCCCGTTATTCCCTAGAATATTTTTGGACTGCCTTTATCCCTCTGACCCTGTGGGTTCCAGTGCATGGATATTCTAGTTTACATTGTTATCAGGTTTCCTCAACCTGTTCTATCCAATGCTAACTTGAGCCTTTTCTTCCACCTCTTTACTAGAATTTGTTCTCCCAAATAGCAACCTTAGTGACTTATCCTGGGAGATGAAGAAATAACAGAAGGGATAGAATGACTTAGCGTGAGCTGGCTGACAGCTTATGCTCCACTGGGAGAAAAAAGAAGACTCATAACTATTTATTTTGTATTCTTCACAGGCACCACCAGTTAATGAATGTATATTGTAAAACTTGACTTGCGACTTATGACCATCCGCACTAACGATTACACATACAAATAAAAGGAACAAATGTAATTATTAGGGTCAAACGCTTTCCAGAACTGACGCCTATAGCACAGCGGAAAATTTTACTGGCTATTGGGAGTAGACAAAGTGAGATCAAACTAAGAATACTCACAACATTTTTGGTTTGAACGACTCGTCTCGGCCGCTTGCCAGAGCCAGAGTCAGAGTTCCTCAAGCTTCGTTTGGTCACCAAAAGGGAGGAGTGCCTGCCTACCATTGCTGGTGTTAGTTATTGCAGCAAACTCACTGAAAAAAAAAGAATTTATCTTCACCAGAGGCAGCAAGGAGACCGTTGGGTGCAGATGTAGTTATAGGAGTTAAAGTCAAAAAAAAAGAGTAAGAAAAGAAGCAAAGAGACATGAGCTAGAAGAGAAAGGGGGATTATTATGAAGATCAGGAAGTGGTTTGTGGGTTGTAGGAGGAAAGGGGGGGGAGGGGAATGAAGAGCAGGAAGTGGGTTGTGGGTTGTAGGAGGAAGAAGGAATTACAATAAAGAGCAGGAAGTGGGTTGTAGGAGGAAAAAGGAATTACAATAAAGAGCAAGAAGTGGGTTGCTGCAGGAAGAGGAAGAAAAATAGAAGCAGCTAAAATAGAAGGGAAAAAAAGAACAGGAAGAATGTTTAGTATAGGTGATTCAGGTGTTCATCTAAATTGTGTTCTCCCTGGTGCTAACCTCCAGAAGGTGCTTTTTCCTATAGATCACTTTAGGATCAGCATAGCAACACTGCAACAGTCTGGTTATCTGGTAATCGTAGTTCAAGCTTCATAGCAAATGGGTCACCCCCTAGTTGCCAACAAAACTCAGAATGGGGGTTAGGCAGTGTGTCCATGGTGGGGGGGGGGGGGTTAGGCAGTCTGTCCGGGGGGGGGGGGGGGGGTAGGGGGTAGGCAGTCTGTCCGTGGGGGGTAAGGCAGTCTGTCCGTGGGGGGTAAGGCAGTCTGTCCGTGGGGGGTAAGGCAGTCTGTCCGTGGGGGGGGGGGGGGGGGGGGTAAGGCAGTCTGTCCCGGGGGGGGGGGGGGGGGGGGTAAGGCAGTCTGTCCCGGGGGGGGGGGGGGGGGGGGGTAAGGCAGTCTGTCCCCGGGGGGGGGGGGGTAAGGCACAGTCTGTCCCGGGGGTAGTCTTGTCTTAGAAACGCTGTCAAGCACATCTGTTTTACAGATGACTTTGTATGCAAATTTAGTTCATTGACATTTGTATGCAGATTTAGTTCATTGCTTCTCAGGATGATACACTAACTCTGAAGAATTCCCCCAGTTAGTTGACACTTATAAAATGCTTGTTGGGGAGTCTATGGTTTTGCCCACAATGGGGCCCTGGAACCCACACAGTGATTTAGCCATTTTAGGTCACGATGACCTAGAGAACTGACAAGGAACTTTCTAGAAAACCAGGAAGGGGCAGACAATGCAAGACACTAAAGATGCATTAGCTATGATGCCACACAGGGCTGGACGACTGACTGCAGAAAGACACTTTCAGGAGTGCCGTGATGAGGGCAACATTCTCTAAAGGACCTGTGAGTGACAATGTGCAAGGGGATAATTTAAACAGTCTTCTGTCCCTGTTATCTCCCAGTGGAGCTATGCTGAGTGAGTGACCATATATAAGTGGATAATTTAACAAATAAGTCTTCTGTCCCTTATCTCCCGGTGGAGCATAGGCCCTCAACCAACAACTTCCACCAAGTTGTCCTATTCTTTGTTACCACATGCAGCTAACCCCATTCGTGAATGAATAAACAGAATCAAGAATTAGACATCCCTGCACTAGGGGCATTGCCACACATGCCCTACCTCCCTCAGAGGTCGTTAAGCTAACAACACCTGTTGAATGTAACCTCATTAAGTCTGCCTATGTTTTCCCTGAGACACTGCTCACCCACCTGCTGAATTAGCCTGTCAATGTATGGCTAACTGGTCTTTTCTGTTGCACTGTCCATTTGATCTCAGCCTTCACAACTTCAGCTTTATCATAACGTAGCTCACCATCCACAGGTGTGGCTTGTGCTCCCTATCGTAACTTTACTCTTTAGCTCCATTTTTTTTTAGTCTACCTTTATTCTTATGCTCCTGTCGGTTCCAACGTAAAAGAAATGATTATAACTTCTCAGGTTTCCTCAGATTAAGTTACAACTAGTCATCCATTGGAGACTTCCCAATTCCAGCAGCTGGATCAGTAAGTACACTTACTGACTTACTATCCTATTCAACTTCATCTTTTTCTTTACCTCCTGTTGATACACAGAAATGTAGCTCTCTCCCAAAGCTCCAAATATGACTATCATACCATTTAACTCCATATATTCAGAGCAGAAAAAGTTGAATGTAGTGTATTATTTGCAATTATTTGTTTTCGTTCATCTTTTTCAGCTCCATCATCAGGAGTAAGAGGTTTGGCGTCAGACAAATATTTAACATTTGAATTCCCTTTGACTTTGACATCCACGAACGCCATATATGGTCAACATGGATTACTGTTTTTAATTCAGCTTAACCATGTTACAAAACTTGCAGAAAGATCTTGAAAACAACGGACAATACACAGAAAATCTGACCACACACAAAACTCACGTACACATGAGAAAGCCACATGGAGCCTGACCTCGCTCGCACAATCTCCACAAAAAGCCTGTCTACAAATCATAAACACATCCCTTGCTGTCGCCGAAACTACACTGGACACCACAGAATACGAATTACAACGACCACGCTAAAAACATGGTCAGAAAACCGGCAACACGCCGTTGAAAGTTGGTTCAGATTTCTGAAGCCGACATGGAGAGACAAGCGTTGGACGATGATGGCGACTGCTTGTTCAATTCAAACAAAGCAGATATCTCGCGGCTAAGAATGACACACTAGCTGTAATTTCTCACTGACTACGTCCCCATGCATATGACTTATCTAACAAAGAAGTTTGAACAATAATGTTTGCTTGTCTAACTAGCAATTAAGAAGTCTGGGGGGCTAGCGATGGTGCAGACTAGCAGACAAGTCTACATCGATCTAGCTTGTCAACAAAGAGTTTTCCAAATCCCGAAACGTACCGGATAATGGCACTTTGGATAAACGGTTCCTGACGTGTAATGGAGGGTCAACCCATCCACACTGGATTTATAGGTTTCTTCGCAACCGTGCAGTTTGCCCCAGTATTATTGTTATACGGTTTAAGAGGGTTTTATGAATTTATAATTCCCCACTACCCTTCTTTGTGTTCATCGGTTGTAAACAATCTAGCGAAAACATATGGTTGTTCGTCCACTACTGGACGGTTTTGTTCTAGAACTAGAATTGTTTATTTCATCATATTTGGTTTATATATAGACTGTTCCTTGCTTCTATTTCTATGCCAGACTCATTTGCCTTCTATGATATACTTTTCAGGTGAACAGTTGGTTCCCCCCCCCCCTTCCTCACCCAATTACGGAGCCCCGGAACATACAGCGTAACCCACCTGTTTGATTCTCGTCCTTGAGATATCAATCCTATAGACATTGAATTGATCTTGGGTGGCCCGTTGATTGCTGTAAGCAAACACTTAAAGCTAGTTGCGAATCAGGTCGCTGCAAAACCAACCCCAGCATATTTTTAAGGAAAATTTTATGTTCAGTAGTTTTCCATTGTTTACTGAACGGTCAGCTCTCGATACGGCTGTCGAAACAACACAAGACATTCTGTTGCCAAAACAAATCGCCTGCAAATTGGATAAAACCTGGCATCAGAAAACGCATTCGAAACGCCTAAGCCCTAAGCCACATACGCCAACTAACATAACACATACATACACACAACAGACCACAAATATAGCTGATACTGCTTGCAGTAGGTTGAACGTACTCGATATATATATAATATATATATATATAATCATAACTGGACGACTGGTTTACAGCTAGAGATTTGAATGAAACTGTCGACACAATCTGATTTTAGCCAACTCAGACGCTAGTTAGAGAGGGCAACGAGTAGATATTTTTTTCCTACCAAAATGGACATCGGAAACCGAAACCACACGAGGAGCACACAGTAACAATGTTTCAACTCTTTAACCTACCTGATTTAAACGATCTTCTCTACTCACAATCTCTTGACGTCAGACGGTAGCAACCTGCTCCTTCTCTTTCCTCCGTCTATGTTGGACTAAACATCAATTTTGGAACTTTTAAACTAAGTTGTCATGTGAAGAAAATGCCACATGCCAAAAGCATGGAAACACCTCAAATGTGTTTACCAAGAGCCACGCTGGCTACTGACCTGCCCTGAGTTCTCGTGAATGATCAGTCTCGCATTGTTGCGTCAGTTGCCGGTTGGGTGACTCGTGAGTCACCTGGGTCCTTGAACCAATGATACGCTTGATTGGGTTAGTCTGACCAGTGTTTAGGCGTACATCACGGGCAGCATGCGAGGAACTACTTTGGATAGGTGATCAGGATCACCGCCAACTCTAGATTTATAGCTAAAGATGGCCGTGCAGAATGTGTATTAGAAGGCGCTCAAGAACACAATAATCAGATGTCGTGATAGTTCAACTTTAGCGCAATAGTGGTTCAACTTTAGAGCACTGATGATTCAACTTTAGAGCACTGATGGTTCAACTTTAGCGCACTAGTCGTCTATGAGTTAATATTGTTGCTCTTATCCTCCCAGTCCTTCTACCACTCCGCATTCACTTCCTCTTCTTTTCTTTTTGCCAATGCTCTCTGAATGGTCAGCTACCGCCTTCTCTAAAAAGAGTCGGCCATGGGTCAGCTTTTGGCTATCCTCCGAAAATCGGTCCCAAATTATCCAGGCCGAAAAATATCCTAACAGGGCCTCAGTCACGTGTCAACTGCCCACTTCCGCCACCGCCGAGAGTATCTCCCCCCCCCCCCGCCCCACGCCGATGGATTGGGCTAAACTAGATGGCTAGGACTCACGAGCAAATGAAGGAAGCTGCAGGAGATGCGGTAGCTGCTGCTCGTGAGTCCCAGTTATCTAGTTTAGCCCCAATCCATCGGCGTGAGGGGGGAGGGGGATTCTCTCGGTGGTGGCGGAAGTGCGCAATTGACATGTGACTGAGACCCTGTTAGGGTTTATTTTCGGCCTCTATAATTTGGGACCGTTATTCGGAGGATAGCCCAGCTTTTTACCCCTCCTCCTTCTTCTTCTTCTTCTTCATATGAACACTTGCTGATTAACACTGGCAGATGTGCAACTTTTTCTTAAAATTCAACGATA